CCTGGGGTTGTTCCTCCCCAGGCGCAGGACCCTGCCCTTGCCCTTGTTGAACCTCATCAGGTTCCTCTGTGCCCAACTCTCCAGCCTGCCCAGGTCTCGCTGGATGGCAGCACAGCCTGCTGGTGTATCCACCACTCCTCCCAGTTCTGTGGCACATTTATCGTACCCTTTCTGCTTGCTGAGCCATGCCTACAGAGTTTGCATCTTAACTTGTGTTTATTTAGGTTCTGCTGTTTAGGAAGTATGTGGAGCTTTTGCGGAAATTCCAGTTTTGCGACTCCAGTTTTGTCAGTTTTATGTTTCACCAGTCTTGAGCTGTGAGGCGCAGCAGAGCCCTAGAAATTTGGACCTTGCTAGATGTCAATTCAGTGCAGAACAGCTACAGGTAGCTGGAGGCTGGGGAGTCTCCTTCTCTGGAGACATTCAAGCCCCACCTGGACGTGGTGCTGTGCAGCCTGCTGTGGGTGCCCCTGTTTGGGCAGGGGGCTGGGTTGGGTGACCCCCAGAGGGCCCTTCCAACCCCCAGCATTCTGGGATTCTGTGATAGACAAGGGAAGCAAGTCTGTGGTTGTGCAGCCCTCACAATCCGCACGTTGTCTGCAAATGGGTCCACGCGTGCAGCCCTAGCTTTGCTTTGCCATTGTCCTTAATTAGATAATTAACTGTTATCTGTAACCAAAAATGTCGTGTTTTGTTTTACGCAAGGTGCTGAAGTGCAGTCAAGTCTGCGCAGAGCTCATGCCGTGTGATTTGTATCGCTGTTTGGGATTAGTGAAGGATTATAGAAGATTCTGGATCTGTCTTTGATCCAGAAGCATATCTTTGCCGTCTCCTTTCTGCCATGTCAAACGTGAGCAAGGCTTTAGTTCTTCAAATTGTAATCTGTCGTGTTGTTCCATAGAGTACATGCTTTTCTGGAGCAGTGGGGCCTCATTAACTACCAAGTGGATCCAGAAAGCCGTCCCATGGCGATGGGCCCTCCGCCCACTCCTCACTTCAACGTGCTGGCTGATACGCCCTCTGGGCTGATGCCCCTCCATATCCGCACCCCGCAGGTGAGCCCGCAGGTCGCACCGCCGCCTCTCCGCCTTAGCTCTGGCCAGCGGCGTTGAACGCGTCGCTGGAACGACTTGGGCATGGTTTGATGAAATGTTCCTTTTCTTTTTGTCCATCTAAGTTGAGAGTTTGACGTAGTTGGAATCTCTAAAACACATCTGCTAGCAGATGTGAAGCCAACTCCGTAGACTTGTGCCAGCCTCTTCGTGCAGTCTGTTTAACGTTGGTCTGAAAAGCTTCAGTAACATTCGATTCCTGCCCCTCTGTCCTGTCTCTTGTCATGTTTGTTCACAGGTTCCAGCTGCTCAGCAGATGCTGAGTTTTCCTGAGAAAAACAAAGAGAAGCCTACTGATCTGCAGAACTTCGGACTCCGCACTGACATTTACTCCAAAAAGACTTTAGCAAAGGCGAGTAGGCTGGGATTGCTTTCCCCTGCGCTTTCTGTCCAGCTTTCTTCCTCAAGTGTCCTCCACTAGGTGACATTGGGACGCCTTCATTTTACTCTTACACTCCTGTTTTAGATTTCTTCTGTCTCGGCGTAGGATGCTGAGATACGTGGGTGTGTTGGATATCTGGTTTTGTAGAAATAAAGACCTGTACCTGTCCCAGGCTGGGCGATACCGTCAGTCTTCAGACACTGAGCTCTTCTTACGTTACTGCATATTTTAATTAAATGGTTCAGAATCAATAAACTATCCAATAATTCAGTACAGAAGCTGAACTCCTTCAGCACGGTCTTCAACTATCCTGTTTTCCACCTCTGAGCGGGGTTTCCCAGACGGAGAGGACTAGGAAGTCGCTCGGTTCCAAAAGGTGTCACAAAACCGTTGCAGGGGAGGATTCAGCGCCGTCACTGTGATGTGTTGTATCGGGTGGGATACCACTGCAGCGATGTCGGTGTTTCAATAACCTCTAGCCTTGCTCCTGCGGCCTGATGGCTGCTTGTGCAGCTGGTAGTGCTCGGAGGTGTTGCAGGAGTAGCGCGTTACTACTTAGCGTAGCCTTCCGTCTGGGAGCCTGCCGAGTTCTGCGGCTCGGTGCCTCTCTGGGGCTGACGTCAGGCTTGTTCTGTGGGATTGGTTTCTGCCAGTACAGTGCTCGTTGCCCGAAGAGATCGCTGTTTAAGAGATAATAACTTATACTGTTTATAACTATTATTTATAGACTATTTATCACCAAAGAGGTAGCTATTTAAAAAACCAACAGAACCAAAACACAGTAGTTCTAGAGATCAGCATTTTTATTTATAAAACCTAATCCCACAGCGCATTTCATGGATTGGCCTCTTCACTTAGTTCAGAGAGGTGCAATTATTCACCAAACTCATAAATTTTTTACTGGTTCTAGGCTCTGGTTCTGCTGATGAGCGTCTCTACCAATGAACTTGAGCAGATTTGTTTGCAGAAGTTGATTTCCCCGTTTGTTTTGTGTGTGCAGCAGTACATTTTTGGCTGTTCGTGCCAGGCGGTTGGAGAGCTGATCAGCTGCTGGATGACTCACTGTGATTAATGTTCTCTGTGGGTTAATGATCTTTTTGAAACGTGTCTGGAGATAGGATAGATTTCCTTCTCCTAAATGCCCTTTTCCTTTCGATGTGGTCTTGCACAGAAACGTCCCATCTGGGTAAGGTTCTTTCATCAGCGGGTGACAAGCTGCTTGTCTTTGACCCGTGGTGGGTTGGGGTGTCTGTAGCCATGGAAGGGAAGCTTTCACCAAAAGCTTTGTAACTTTTGGGACATTTGAGGAGTTAACTATGAAGTATAGATCTGGGAGCAGCACAGAATCACAGAATGGTGGGGGTTGGAAGGGACCTCTGGGGGTCACCCAGCCCAACCCCCTGCCCAAGCAGGGTCACCCAC